ACAGTTTAAAACATACTTACTTAAATCCCAGGAGCCAGGTAGCCAATGCTCCCTACAAATTATAGCCAGCACCTAACATTTGAGGTTTTCTCTAGTTGTTGCCGTCAATGCAGCTGGCTCCTGAATTGGACAGACTGGCTCCTGAATTCCATAGTATGTGGTCCACCCCTGCTTTAACCTAACAAAAATCGAATTGACCCAGAAACATTCATTTTCCTTTAAGAGTGAAGATACAGAGTCTTACAGAAGCCCAGTCCTGTTTCTCTTTCAAATGCTGGTAGCTTTGCATTCAGAATAGTTCCCGTCCCACACATACCACAGTGGCCTTTTCTATTTTCAGAACCTCAGAAGCCACTGCTACCTCATGTGGCCTACAGCAGAATGACCACATGCCCCCAGTAATGCTTCTTGTTAAATTTTTTTCTCCTCCACTTTCAGGTTTTTCTAGGTCTATTGGAACAGCCTTTTTACTGAACAAAAAAAGAGTTAAGAGCCAACATCAATCTACAATCTCTTATTTTTGTCCCTTAATTTATCAGCAGGATGTAAATGCGCTCTGACAATGGAGAATCAATAGATCTGTGACCCAGAGTCTTCCACAGCCTGCAAAGTAAATGAGCAGCGACTGATCTATTACAGTAGATTGATGCACCCAGCAGAGCTACCTTATATAAATCACACACTGGCTGTATGTTAAAGAGTTTGCCCTTTGAGTTCATCAATTAATATGTGCCCTGTGACCAAAAAAAAATTAGGAGAACAAACATCTGTGTTACCCCAGCAACCAGTCAGCTTTGCTGCTCTCAAATGTTCCAAGATTGCCATGGAAACGTGAAACAGAGGAGCTGATTGATTGCCAAGCAGTTCTTAACTGGTTATAGACATAATATGTCAAATCAATTCAGCACAAAAACAGGGAGGAGAACAACAAAACCTAACACTTGGTTCTGTATGTCTATACCAAAGAATGTGCAGAAGGGAAATCCGAATTCTAAAAAGAGATTTTGGAACGTCTGCCTATGAAACCTGGAGCAAATGAATCATGCGATGCCCAAATCAGATTTTCTGTATGTGGCTTTGGGAGAATGAATATTGACATTTTACTGGCATGCTCCATTTGTAAGTGTGATGCATCATTTTAAAATACCAGTGCTTTAAAGCTGAACTACAACCTATTATTGTACAGCCAAGGAAGGTGCCATCATAGCCTCTATTTGGATTGCAGTTGCCATGTTGCTGCACATGATCAGCTAGGACACCAGCTATTTGAGAGCTTGAAAGTTCAGTTGTGAGCTGAAATAAGCGCACTGGCAACCCTGACATTGGCATGGCTTTAGAGTAACTGTATTGGAAGACCATTAAGTTGGTGGGTCAATCTCCGCTTTAACATTATCCCTGGCTTTAGAAGGCTTATATTAAACATTTTACTATTTGGCAACAATTTCAGCAGTTAACATTTTGCGCGCTTGTGTCCCATGTAATGCACAAGTGTGTTTGGGCTAGTTCACACGACAAACAGTGCGTTCTGGCCCGATTTGGTGCCGGAATGCACTGGATCGCATCCAGGACTTTTTTCATCTCGAGAGTGCACAGTTTGGAAGGTGTGCAGAAGGCTGCAGGTTATCGAAATGTAATCCACCATTTTTTGCCATGCACAATTTAGCTTTCTCTGGCAAAAGTAAAAAACAAAACCAATATTCTGAGTCCACACAAATAGGACCAGGTTTGGCACAACAATCCCAATTCTCAGAATATGTTTTGTGGTACGGTTGGATTGAAACGGGCAGGATTGGATTGATATAGAAAGGACTGGGGCCGAAGATGACAATTTTGGATTCCGTAACAATGTTGCAAGCATATATTGACGGGTACTGATCTATAGAATATTACCTCTGATAAGCGTTTCCCCAACCTTTTTTTCAGTCACAGTATTCTTTAAATGTCGAATTTCAAGGCACCCCAGTCGAAAAAGTAAATAGACGATATGTAAAAATCCAATATGAATTCTAGACCTTTATCCAAGATAGGACTCCGATATGGATTTTAGGGGGACCTCATGCAAAAATATTTAAAAAAAAACAGTCCCCCCTTCACATCAGGGGCCCCCTGTTTCACATTAGAATATCCCAAGGCACCCCTGAGGAAGCAAGAAGGCACCCCGGTTAGAAAGGCTGCCTTAGATATAAACAATATCTGGTACACAATATACGATTATATGAAGTGAATGTAATCCCTAACAATGAAGTTCTCTTAATTGGTCCCTTTTGGTCTGTTATATATACCATTAAAAGGTGTTTGTGATATCTGATTGACAAGTTCAAAAATATACCTTTTCATTATGCTCTGTAATCCTAACTGGTTTCTGTTCTCCTGATACATTAGCGTGAGTGTTGTCATCCTAGGACTGGAGTGTTACTGACAGACATACTTACCAGGTAAAAATAAAAGGAAAACAGCCCAAAAAACAAATCTAATGCTGCCACTTCATCTAAGGACTGATAAGCTGCAATATGTGATATTTTTGTTTCTGGGTTTAGATATGCTTAAATAAGTCTGTGCAATGGAGTATTAATGAAATGCAACATGTAAAACCTCAAAGCAAACAATAAGATGCATTTTACTCTAAATCACACCAGTCCCTGTCTTACCATAAACACGCACAAACTCTCTTGGGACAACTATGAGTGGAAGCCAATTACCTGACATCAGACTTCATTTATCAGCATCTGTGTGTCCCATAACCATTATTAATCTTTTTCTCTTTGATTATAGTGCTGTGTAGAATTTTAACTGGCTGCCTGATGTTGGATAACACAGATATTTCTTAAGATTTTAATAAAAGCAAGCCCAGGTTCTTTATTTTTTCCTGTGGTGGATATAGAAAAACCTAGACAAGCATGCAAAGAGAGAAAGCCCCCAGACACTACAGTGCATCGCACAGACACATTAGATAGCTGCAGTCTGATCACTAAAAGGTGAACTGCTTGTTCATGGATATTTCATTATCATTGCAGTTTGAACTGTCAGCTGAATAAGTCTGGTAGTGTACTGTGTTCCACCTACCAACATTTGCCTAGCCCTGTGTTACCATGCCAGTGCGCATAGGTTACCTTGCATCCTGCCTGTGGCCGTGGCTTCATGAGTGGAGTCGTGGAGCAAAGTTCAATGGCTTCTGGCTCGTGGAATATGACAGCTGGGAGAGGTTCTTTCCGTAGGGTCAATACGTTCAGCTTTGATTTTATCATGGTCTGGAAGTGCTGTGCACAAAAACAGAAGATTGTATGGATTACCAGTAAAGAATGGAGCAAGGGAAGTAGCTAAACAAGCCTCTTAGTTAAACAATAGTCCCCTTCAAGCAGTCTTATGGCTCATTTACCATGCCATAGTCACATTTTGCTACACAACACATTTTTGGAAACATAAACAGGGGAGAGGGAGAGGGGGAGAGGGAGAGGGAGAGAGAACTATCAGCAAGAAGCTTGATGAGAAGGAAACAACTGTTGAAGCGATTATTCGCAAATGTATGGAATACAAATCAACCATCAATCGCCCTTGGTCTGGAGCTCCATGCAAGGGGTAAGCCCAGAACTACATGGGAAGAGCTTGTGAATGATCTCAAGGCAGTTGGGACCACAGTCACCAAACAAACCATTGGCAACACAATACACCGCCATGGATTGAGATCCTGCAAGGTCCTTACTGGGGCCGAAGATGACAATTTTGGATTCCGTAACAATGTTGCAAGCATATATTGACGGGTACTGATCTATAGAATATTACCTCTGATAAGCGTTTCCCCAACCTTTTTTTCAGTCACAGTATTCTTTAAATGTCGAATTTCAAGGCACCCCAGTCGAAAAAGTAAATAGACGATATGTAAAAATCCAATATGAATTCTAGACCTTTATCCAAGATAGGACTCCGATATGGATTTTAGGGGGACCTCATGCAAAAATATTTAAAAAAAAACAGTCCCCCCTTCACATCAGGGGCCCCCTGTTTCACATTAGAATATCCCAAGGCACCCCTGAGGAAGCAAGAAGGCACCCCGGTTAGAAAGGCTGCCTTAGATATAAACAATATCTGGTACACAATATACGATTATATGAAGTGAATGTAATCCCTAACAATGAAGTTCTCTTAATTGGTCCCTTTTGGTCTGTTATATATACCATTAAAAGGTGTTTGTGATATCTGATTGACAAGTTCAAAAATATACCTTTTCATTATGCTCTGTAATCCTAACTGGTTTCTGTTCTCCTGATACATTAGCGTGAGTGTTGTCATCCTAGGACTGGAGTGTTACTGACAGACATACTTACCAGGTAAAAATAAAAGGAAAACAGCCCAAAAAACAAATCTAATGCTGCCACTTCATCTAAGGACTGATAAGCTGCAATATGTGATATTTTTGTTTCTGGGTTTAGATATGCTTAAATAAGTCTGTGCAATGGAGTATTAATGAAATGCAACATGTAAAACCTCAAAGCAAACAATAAGATGCATTTTACTCTAAATCACACCAGTCCCTGTCTTACCATAAACACGCACAAACTCTCTTGGGACAACTATGAGTGGAAGCCAATTACCTGACATCAGACTTCATTTATCAGCATCTGTGTGTCCCATAACCATTATTAATCTTTTTCTCTTTGATTATAGTGCTGTGTAGAATTTTAACTGGCTGCCTGATGTTGGATAACACAGATATTTCTTAAGATTTTAATAAAAGCAAGCCCAGGTTCTTTATTTTTTCCTGTGGTGGATATAGAAAAACCTAGACAAGCATGCAAAGAGAGAAAGCCCCCAGACACTACAGTGCATCGCACAGACACATTAGATAGCTGCAGTCTGATCACTAAAAGGTGAACTGCTTGTTCATGGATATTTCATTATCATTGCAGTTTGAACTGTCAGCTGAATAAGTCTGGTAGTGTACTGTGTTCCACCTACCAACATTTGCCTAGCCCTGTGTTACCATGCCAGTGCGCATAGGTTACCTTGCATCCTGCCTGTGGCCGTGGCTTCATGAGTGGAGTCGTGGAGCAAAGTTCAATGGCTTCTGGCTCGTGGAATATGACAGCTGGGAGAGGTTCTTTCCGTAGGGTCAATACGTTCAGCTTTGATTTTATCATGGTCTGGAAGTGCTGTGCACAAAAACAGAAGATTGTATGGATTACCAGTAAAGAATGGAGCAAGGGAAGTAGCTAAACAAGCCTCTTAGTTAAACAATAGTCCCCTTCAAGCAGTCTTATGGCTCATTTACCATGCCATAGTCACATTTTGCTACACAACACATTTTTGGAAACATAAACAGGGGAGAGGGAGAGGGGGAGAGGGAGAGGGAGAGAGAACTATCAGCAAGAAGCTTGATGAGAAGGAAACAACTGTTGAAGCGATTATTCGCAAATGTATGGAATACAAATCAACCATCAATCGCCCTTGGTCTGGAGCTCCATGCAAGGGGTAAGCCCAGAACTACATGGGAAGAGCTTGTGAATGATCTCAAGGCAGTTGGGACCACAGTCACCAAACAAACCATTGGCAACACAATACACCGCCATGGATTGAGATCCTGCAAGGTCCTCCTCAAGAAGGCACATGTACAGGCCTGTCTGACGTTTGCCAATGAACATCTAAATTATTCAGAGAAGGATTGGGAGAAAGTGCTGTGTTCAGAGGAGACCAAAATTTAGCTCTTTGGCATTAACTGGACTCAACGTGTTTGGAGGAAGAAAAATGCTGACTATGACCCTAAGAACACCATCCCTACAGTCAAGCAAGGAGGTGGAAACATTATGCTTTGGGGCTGTTGCTCTGCTAAAGGTACAGGCCGACTCTGCCGCATTGAGAGGCCAATGGACGGGGCCATGCATTGTAAAATCTTGGATGAGAACCTCCTTCCCTCGGCCAGAACACTGAGGATGGGTCGTGGATAGGTCTTTCAGCATGACCCAAAACATCCCGCCGAGGCAACAAAGCAGTGGCTCAAGAAGAAGCACATTAAGTTCATGGAGTGGCCTAGCCAGTCTCCAGACCTTAATCCTATAGAAAATGTATGGTGGGAGCTGAAACTTCGAGTTGCTAAGCGACAGCCAAGAAACCATAAGGATTTAGACAAGGTCTGTAAAGAAGAGTGGACCAAAATCCCTCCTGAGATGTGTGCAAACCTGGTAACCAACTACAAGAAACGTCTTAACTCTGTGCTTGCCAACAAGGGTTTCTCCACCAAGTAGTAAGTCATGTTTTGCTTGGGGATCAAATACTTATTTTACTCACTGAACTGCAACTCAATGTATAACATTTGTATCATGTGTTTTTTCTGGACTTTTGGTTGATCTATCATTTAAAATACACCTATGCTAAAAAATTATAGACCTTTCATTTCTTTGTAAGTGGGCTAACTTACTAAATCTGCAGGGGATCAAATAATTAGTTTCCCTCACTGTATAGAAAAAAAAGTGTTGCTTCTATAAAATTTACAGACGAAATCCTCTTGGCGTGCTGGGAATGTTGTTACCTAAAGAGTCTGAGGTTACTGAAGCCATAGAACAGGAAACTGGCCAAGTCACTTAAAAGGGTCCTGATATATAATGTAACATCCAACCTGAAAAGATCCAGATCCACAATTACCCATCTCCTACAATCCCCTGCAAATACAGGTACCCTCTTGTGTAAACTATCCTAAATAAATTAAAGTGCCCCAGCTGCCACTGAATAACCATACTGATCCTTGAAATCAGTAGGTGGTGGAACAGGTAAAATCTCAGTTTTCTCAATGCCATCCAACAGGAAAAAGATAGGATAGCAATACAGTCTGGAGAAATAAAATGAAAAGTCTTTTTGTTTAGTTGAAATGCATGATTGCCTGTACATGCTACTTTGTGTACATTCAGAATGTGAACAAATGTTAGAGAATTTTCCCACCACTTGTAATACAAGCAACACCCACCAGAACATGGTTTTATACTGATCCCAGTACTGCTGATCTCCTCTAGCCTCTTTCAGCCCCTTCCTATTTACATGTACACACTCAAGGGCTGCCTGCACACCATTGTCCTGGACCAGCTTTCTAAAAGTGACAACGCTTGCACACCGTGTGTCGGCATGGCCCTCTGTCAGCAACCCTCTGCTTCTGCGCATGCGCCAAGTCCCGTTTTCCGTACTGTTCAGAGGACACTTGCGCGGACCACGAAAAAACGCGCCAAGAGGCGCACAAGAAGTGACGCACTTGATCAATTGACTTCCCTATTTAAGCTCAGCCTGCACACCTCCATATTGCTGGATTGTCTTCAGCCCTCCTGAATTCCTGTGTCCTCCGATTCCTGTTTCCTGTCATTACCTGCCTGCTTGGTTTGACCCGGATCTGCCTTGACCATACTTGCCTGCAACCTGCCCTCGACCACGGATTGTTTTGACCATTCTTGCCTGCAACCTGCCCTCGACCACGGATTGTTTACTGGACTTGCCTCTGCCTTGGGTACCTTATCTGCTTGCTTGGTGTGACCTCGGCTTGTTGACCCTGGAGTTCGGATTGCCCCAGTTCTGCTACAGAACCAAATCTTCAGCTTGCATGGTATTAACACCACTGGCACCCGTGCCACTCGTTGTCTGCCAGGACTCTGTTCCCGCCTCCAGAGTCCTCAGGACAAGAGGTGCAAGGGAGGCCCCCTCACGCATTCAGACTCCAACCAGGTACGTGACACCGTCAATAGTCCCAATCTGGGGAAAGGGGTTGCAATGCAGGAGCACAACTGAGAGATAGTGGTCACACAGGAAGTATAAGAACAACCTTTATGGCAAGATTGCCAGGTATTATTCTGACGAAAGTTATACAATTAAAAAAAAAAAAAAAGGAAAAAGTACTAAAAATTGAACTGGATTTTTTTTTTTTAAACATCCTTTCAGTGGGGCCCTCCTGCAGTAAATGCTCGTTAAGTTTAAGGGTATTGGAAAAAGCTGCAATACTTACATTATACCCCACTCTCCGTAAGATGGTGCTTCCATTTGATGTTCTGCATTGTGGATGGGTCCTCACCATCCCCATGTACAATGCAGGACTCCTGGTTCTACCGACAGAGAGAAGTGGCTTCGGGTGATCGGTTGCACAGCGCGGTGGAAGCCCCCCGGGGAGCGGAATAAGGTATTGCAGCTTATTCCTCTACCTCTAGACCTATGGAGCATCTAACCCTTACAGTGCAAGGA